CGTGAAGGAACATCTGCACATCTCACAACAAATGGCTGTCGATTCGTGATGTCCATCCAAACTTTTTTTGCCCAGCTCATTCTCTCAACCAGCCTAATATCAGGTCGAAACGGCTTTACCCGAAATCCAGCTCAAATGAACTCATCTATGGAGACCATTAAGTTTCAGTTGTATTCAATAGAGACCAAATATTATCCCAAATAAGTTCAGTTTTAAAATTACTGGAAGAAATCAGAGTTCAAGAAAGGTAAACGTTAAATAATGTGAATTCACAAACAGGTGAAGAATAAGGCATTTAGTGAAGTGATTCAAATTTCAGTTAAATGAATCGAAAAAAAGATGGAAATTAATAAGTTGAGCATTATTAGACATCTCAAATCGATTCTCAAGTAAATTCACATATTTACTGTTGTTCATTCACTCCATTCATTCTATTAAATTTCGAGGTTGCAAATATTATGCATTCTACGAAAGAGTTTAATAAACAAATAAGTTCATAAGTTAAATTTATAAATAATTCAGAATTACATTTATAAATAAGTTGAAACTGGCCTACTGAAAAACTGAAAAAAATTAAACATAATATGACTATTCAAATATAATATGATATATTCAAAGATTAATCAAAAAGCTCAGCTATCCAAAACATACCAAATAAAATCAATTTGCCCAATTTCTTTATATGCTATTTGAGTTTTTGAATTTTATTATGAATTAAGAATTAGCTAGCAATGGTGGATAAAATTTCATAGACGTGAACAACATTTTCAAGAAATTTCAAACAGAATGTTGCTGCGTGATTCAGGAATGGAAAATGTGTTTTTCATAAAGCATAACTTCTTTGAAATACTGCTTTGAATTCCTCAAATTGATGCTTTGTTTGCCTGAGAAGTATCGATATCAATAGTTTATATCGAGCAGTAATATCAGACGTAAGCGTAAGTTAAGTACAGTGATTCACTTGTATCATTGTTGATGTGAGCTTAAATTCATTAACACGTTTTCCATGTGAGCGTTGCATGACAACAAGCATAAGCAGCTTTGTGAATGCTCATCATTAGATGCCTTGTTTTTAGCAAGCAGAAAGGCTTATGCCGTTAGACTGGAGGAGTGAAACGATTGAATTGTAATCGTAGTGAAATGCATCCGGATGGAGAATATTGCGAAAATAGGAAAGGCTTCCCTGTCAAGAACCTGCTAATAAATGTTCTTGTCAAGGTTTTTGAGGTGGTTTCATTCACGAGTTGAACTCAGTCTTCACGAAAATCACATCTGTGAACGGGAATCACATCAGTGGGGTAGGTTTGGGGAATCTGCATGTTGACGACAATTCACATCATTGTTTTGCACAAACATTGCCGGGTGATTTACTTGTGGCCACGAAATCGATGAATAGTCTCGATTGAAGATATGCTCGTTGAATCGAATTTGTTTCAAGGTTGCACTTGCAGTACAGCAATTCCTTCAGTCATACCAACAATTATACACTTGTGATTGAGTTTTACAATCACATATACCATTTAACGAAACTTCATAATAATTAACCAATTCCTCCATTTGAGTTCCTCATATTCTTCAACACTACTTTGAGTTATTTGAATGAAGTGTTTATTGAAGGTAAGTAATTAATTGTTTAGCTGATTCGAATGATTAAGGTCTGATTTGTCCGTAATGTGCCCCTGGATTATCTGTATTCGTAATACACGTACATTTTTCATTAATTTGTAATATAGAATCTTGTTGAGTAACTCGATCACCGTTTTCACCGTTCTCTGATGCAGTTCTTTATTCTGTAGAGTTTGCAATCTTCACTGTGATTTTTTCACCGAAAATGGTATTTAATAATGATTGGAACGGAATAAAACGTTAAAATGTTTTCAACGAACTGTACATAAAAATTGTTTTCATTAGTTGATGAGGTCGTTCAGGATTGTTTATTTAAATTAAGCGTGTATTCTCGATTCAACATTCAACATTTGATAAATTCTTCGCACTGCACTCAAAATTAGATTCATTGTAAAGTTATGCATTGACCGTTTGTTTCGTCTTTTCAGTTTTTATATCAGTTTGTGCTCTGAACTGAACTTCATGATGTATGTCTACTGATTGGACAGCAACAGCTCGAATGTTTCACACAATGAACATGTTCGAAACTTTTCATTGAGAACGACCAAAATTATAATTTCCAGCTATACATCTCACTGATCATTGTATTTGTTGTATCGGTAACGTGAAGGGGATATTTCAAAACATCATCGCTGAAATTTACTTACACTATCAAATTAATCGGGTGGAAAAAAAGGGATCAGAAAGCATTTGAATCACGTTAAAGCACGCAATGATATCCCAGTCATTGAGTTTAATGATAGCAATCACTCAGATATCCGTCTAAATGATTTCAAATAAAACAATAATTTTGAGTCAAATCTAGCTCTCTGTTTATCTTCTAAGTTCACTCTCATGAACCTCAACAGATCCGTCCGTTACATTTTGTGGTTTTTCACTCACATCATTCCTTCACTTCGGCCTGATTATTTATATTGTTGCTTTTAACAGTCTGATTCATATGCTTCGAAGAGTGTTCACCGTTTCCATAGTTAGAATAATTGTTCGCTGTCATCTTATGTTTTCTCTCCGTTAGACGTTTAAATGCACACTGCACACATTGGCGAGTAAGCAGTGACTGCGGAAAGTTGGTGTTGTGATATGCAAAAATTGTTGAGTGCTTATTTGGTGAGGATTACGTCGGGAAATGTAACGATGTGTTGTCGAGAAATAGCACAATTGGTTTGGTTCATTTCAGAAATAATAAAAAGATGATTCGTGGTGGGGAAGATCAAGCACTCCTCCATCCTACACTAGCAACCGGTGCAAATGGCGTTGAAGGGTTACTGGGTTTCTGGCGCAATTCGACCGATGAAGTGAAGAATCTGATGAACAAAGAACTGGATGTGATCTATGAATGCAGGTATATCCTTTTCATAACCAGGTTGAGGTAGTGCGGATCGATAGGAATGATCATTAGAATTATGGTGATTATGAAAATAATATNAATATTAAAAATAAAACATCGACTGTGAGACTCATGTGAACTGATTTCAAGTTAAACTGAATGCTTTGAACTGAGTCGAGCAATTTCATTTTAACAAAATTCATTGATCCATAATCATTAGAAAATCATTCAGTTCTATTGATTCAGTCAAAAATGCACGGAAATTTGTTGTTCATAATTTGGAATATTTTGGAATTAAGTGAAAAGTGTTTTGTTGAAAATGCCCTTCACTCATAAGATTCTTAAATTTGGTTCATCATCAACATCGACAATACACAATGAGTTCTCAGGTACTGCCGTAATTTATTTCGAAGCATCATCAATTTTGTGACACATAAACGGAATTATTGCCGTGGTCGTATTGAATCAATTTCTGCTAAATTAGCAGCCAGCGAATTCGTGAACAATGTCATTGCCAGTAGTTCCAATTCAAATGGTTTGTGTATGGTTGAAATTAAACTCTTCTTTTTAAAATTTGTTTTCGTTTTTTTGAATTAATTAAGTTCGTTTGAATTAAAATCGTTTGACATCCTTCAGAACTTTTTCATTTTGATTGATGAAGATCATCAGGTGTATTGGCCTCTGAGAAAAGAACTTGCAGATGAAAGAAGTAAAAGTGACCAACAACAATGTCAGCCATCAAAACGCTCAAAAGCAATTCTCAAAAGAACCAATATTATCAATGCATTGAATAAACGAATCGAGCATTACGCTTTGGCATTACCAAATTCAAATGTATCTTTGTTTTAATTTATTTACGAATTGATTTCATATGAATTAATTGGCACTATCAATATTTGACTAATGTTTCTATTATGAATTTTTTGATTGACCAGCAGAAATAAACACTGGATGAACAACCACACATCTTCATGCTTAGGCGCCTCTCTCTTCTCAGAAAAAAGTTGATAAAAACTTTCAAGTTTGAGTGCTTATTTTAGTGGCAATAGTGAAGTAAGTGAATGTTCGATTAAAGTGTGAGAGAATTGTTGAAAGAGACATGATTTGATTAAGCAGATTCCTCTTTTTTTCAGGGTGAATGCGATAATTGCAGTGTTTCGATAATCGTTTTTGTTGAGTTGAAATAAGAGTTGTAAAATTTCAGAATGTGATGAATCTGCACACGTTACCTCGAATATCACGTCCCGTTCCCACAACAACGTTTGAGGATGGTGAACAGGTTACTCGATTATTTCATTGCGGTTATGCAGTAGATTTGATTTATTATGATTATTGTTATCTTCTTAATCATTTGCTATGTGTTTTTAGATGGTGTTTATGGAATGATTGTGTTATATCTTGTTGAAGGTTATTGAAACGATGCCACGTGCAATCGCAACAAAGGAGTCTTTGCCTCCAGAACGTGTGCCATTGGTGATACCTCAAGATTACTCGTATCGATATCGAGAAATGAATTTGAGATATCGTAAAACTGATTCAGCAAGACAGGACGTGGCCAGAGAAGTCGGTTCTGATGAGGTAGCTACTCTTTTGTCTACTTGAATGCGGCTTAACTTGGTTGATTTCTGTTGAGGAATCACGCAAGTGATTCATCATTTGGCTTTCGAATCATACAAGTTATTATCACAATTGCCAGCACCATTGTTCCACTCTCAGATTCTTATTGTTACTATTCATCATTCATATTTTTCATCACGACAACTTCAGTTGAATGTGGAAGTGAATTGTATTCAGATAGCAATAATGGACAGATTATGCAAGTATGTGACGTCGTTGATTGAACTCTCTCAAATGGTATGTCTGCACAGCGATTGCAAAGAGAAGCGTCCGTTCTCGTCGATCTTTACGCTAGCCTATCACATCACCGTTAAACACAATCGGAGGTGGTTGATGGACAAGCGCATTCCTTGCTTCTTGTGCGATTCGGCATTCAAACAGTTCGTTTCATTCAGTCGTTGAAACCATTCTGTTCATTTCGATTTCAGTATGGTATCGATACGGTGATATCAAATTACATTTATGAAAAATTAAAATTGAACGATGAAAAAAAAACCAAAAATCACATTTCTGAAGTGTGAAAAAATTTCAAAATATGAAATTTGATGAAATGGTTGTAAAAGAATCTCGCGTGCAGTCGGATTGTCACTAAGATTTGCTTATAATATTCTGATGTAATATTTCAGATATGATGAGGTGATCACTCATTTGAAGGATGCACATTATGAGTTCCATAAGGAGCATTGTGCGGCACGCGCAAAAATTGATGAAGAGAAAACTGAGCCGAAACGAGGTCGTAAACCGAAAACGTCCAATAAAGTGATATTTTGTTCACTTTATCTATCTCATAGTCACATTTTATTATCCGAATATGAATCAAAATTCTAATGAATCAAATTATCATTTCATCGATGAATTCTTTCGTATCAACTCAAATTAATCAGCTAAATCCCTGTCCTTGTGAAAGGTTTCTAGAAATTAATTTTGTTTGGAATTTTTCCTATTCAAGAATTTATTCAATAAATTTTGAAGGTGTGATTTGAAGAGGTGATGACACATTCGATATGTATATTGAATTGAGTAGGTTCGTGTGAAAAATTTCGTTCATTTAATCGAATGAATTTTTGCAGACTGCAAACGGCCGTTATCGTAGTCTGAGTCCTCAGTCGGATGATTTTGTGGAGACGGATGAATCGTCGCGTGATGAAGAGTCGGATAGTGAGCACTTGGACGAACGAGAGGCCAGCGAAGATGTGGCGACACGAAAGAACGATGTGAAAATTAAAGAAGAGCCGGACGTGGAAAGTGAGGAAGAGACAGAGGTACGTGCTACTTCCCTTTCAAAAATTTCATTTCGTTTCATTTTTGATGCATTTGTTAATCAGTGATACAACAATGAAGTGATTAATGAATATGGTTTTGGTTCATTCGTTTACTTCTTAACATTCAAATTCATACTTGAAATCTGTTTTGGACACAATTTGAAAAAAGTGTGTTTATAGACGAATTCACTGCCGCAGTCACTTTCATCAGTGAATATCGATGCGGAAGCGGCTGCATCACCTGAATGGTATCGTATTGATTGGTTTTTATTGTTTTTCACTAGAAATTTCTTATGAATAATTCAGATTCAGAGTTTTTTCTTTTGAATGTGTTGACAGTTATGATCGGATTGTTGGATGTTACGAGAGAACATTTTGAACATTTAAACTCAATTTTCTTTACTCAAAACATGAAAGCATTATTTTTAGGGCTGTTGATCCACCTCACTTAACGCCGGAAGTAGAGGTAAGCGAATTTATGCGTTCAGAAGACGGTTCCTATTTAAATCATTTCCGTTCACTCGGTAACTTTAAAGTGAGATTTATGCCTTGTAAACTTCAAGATTTTAGCATTCCCAACGAAAGAATATAAGTTTTCATTCAATTTCAAAGAATAATCAGTGCAATGATTGTTTTCTGGTTTGTTGAATGAATGCCGAAAAACTCGACTGTATGTTATGAACATAATAAATGAATCGAATTGGATTACTGTTATTGTTAGTGAAATTCAAAGAGTCCTTTCTAGAAATGTGCCTTTAACTTATATTTGGCAATGGAAATTTTCAGAATGACATTCGAGGCGAGGAAGATGAAAGAGGAATTGGAACGGTTTGTTGTTATTCATTTGTGGTTTTTGAAGTGATTACACCTGAGATTACGCAATTTCTTTGGTATAATTTTTATATTTGGCGACTAAACATTAACGAATTTCGTGAATGTCCAACTGTTTGATTGGTAAAATATTCGCTCGAAACATCGCGGATGTGGAATGAGTAAATAAATGAATAAAGTTTATGAATTAATTCAATTCATCTCGAAATGTCCCTCGATGTGAGTGTGAAACATGTAGTTACAGAGTGTAAGAAAAGCGATGGACTATATTCTATCAGCGGTGTGTGCTGATGATGAGGAGGATGCTATGACGAAAGAATGTTGTGATCATAAAAGTAGTATGGAGCTGGAAACAGAGGATAAACATACACGGGACAAAATGCCTTCATTGGGACGTGAAGTATCGAGTATTGATGGTTGTGAAGTGAGGGGAGACCGTAATTGTTTCTTAGTTCGTTTTATATTCATTTTTGCTTAATTTAATCCAGTTTTGATAAGAATATTGTTGGAAGTTTGAATCTCGTCAGATAGGAAAATGATTAATTGAAGTAATGGTTTTGATAATTGTAATGGAGTTAATACATTTGTAGATCAAATGGACAGGATCACGGAAACGGTCGTGGGTATTTGAAGAGAATCTGAAGCGTGATCCGAAAGCGAAGTCTTTGATGAAAAAGATGCTCAGATCGAAGAGGCACACGAAACCGTTGATTACTCGCGCTATTGCAACGAGAGGCAGTGAGAAGAAAGTAACGCGCTGAGTTGTTTGAATTGTTGCGTTGATTTGTTCTTTTTAATGAGCCATCGATCAGAATTTATTCATATACTCAGAAATAGTCACGTAGTTCAGATTCCGTTGCAGTCTGAACAACTACATGACATCACGAGTATTTTCGTACTGTGACTTCTGTTCAAACTGAATGGTTGACAGATTGTTACTGTTCGCCTAATTTTTTTTTGCTGAAAATTTGATCTACTCTCCGATCGAATTATTTCTGTCGAGTATTAATGAAACGAAATCAATTTTATCACCATTTTTATTTCACTGTTTCGAAAATTTTCCGAATTCTGCCGTGCAGTTGTATTGTTCAGTTCACTGGAATCTTAATCACTCCCTGAGCCAGAACTTTTGCATTACGATTGGATCAGATCAATTTTGATGGTGGTTTTTTGGATTCTGAATTTTAATGGATTACTGCGTAATCCAGGTTGACGGAATCATAATTACCGATTGAAATTAAGAAATTGCTAATCGTATTCATTCACAAAATATTAATTTGTATGATTCAGCGCGCATCATCTAACAGCCCATCGCTGGTGAACGTCGTTGCTGGAACGTCATCGAAAAACGTTCCTCAAATACGAATGATTCCATTTCCACCTGTGTCATCGGTTCGTTCATTTCGTTATTTAATCAGTCAATCGTTGTGTCACTTAACATCCTTCAAGCAAATAATAATCATTTCGGTTTATTATCAAATAATTTGTTACCAAATAATAACAAATAACAACCAAAATATTTTGTTAATGATTAAAGCAACAGACAGTAAAATTGTTTCGAATAAACAGACACCCTTCAGTTGGCATGTTTTTTGTTTGACTTAAGAGTGCATTGCATTGATAAGGTTTTAATGATTCTTTTATTTATACAAAGAATTGAAATATCTTCCATCAAACGAATTGAAACGATCCTTGTTTCGCGTAGATTTTTGTTTGTTGCTTTTTATTCGTTTACTTCCTGAATTTGAGAGCTTTTACGGTTCGATGGATGAAATGAGAGTGTGAAAATATTCCGTTGGAGATGGGAACTAACTGATCTCATTATTTTTGTGCGGAATTCTTCGCAAAATCAAAATTAAGGTGATTTATATTGTGAATTTTAGAGTGAGGCTACTTCGTCAACAACAACGGTAGCAACGAAACTTTCGATTAAATTGCACAAGCCGAAACGGAAAAGCGATCAAGATTCAGCACGACCGAAGCATTCTGATCATGAAAATAAGGTATTTACACTCAGAAGTTATCAGACTGAAAGTGATCGAAGTCGTATCACGTAACATCGTCGTTTCATTGAAATTCGTTCATCTGAAGAAGTATAGAAGTTGATTCGTTTGCTCATATTCAGTGCGTTAGAATACTTTCGTTGCAGATGAGCACTCGTCAGTGAACTAACACATTTGCAATTAATGAATGCAATTTGTTATTTTGAGAGAAACGACGACGAATCTGACGATAAACGGTCATCGACCGAGAAGAAATCGTGTAAGAGACGTCGACGCAAGGATGACGAGTTGCGCAACGATGACGAATTACGTGAAGAAGAGTCGCCGAAGAATGAGTCACGTAAGAATGATTCGCGGAAGGATGCACGTGAATCACGTAAAGAGGATCACACACGCAAGCACAGAGGCGAGTCACGCAAACAGGAATGCGAATTAGGTGTATCGCGTGAAGAGGACGTGAACAAAGAGGAAACTTGTCAAAACGAGCCGAACAGTAAACGTGAAGACGACGAGTCACACCACAGCGAGGATTCAAAGCCTGTGAAAAGTCCCGAGGACACTCGTGACGATATCAGCGTGAACAGTGACGATGTGAGTGAGTTGTGCTCTGTGTGCACATAAATACTTGTTTATCGTTGTATTACTTATCTGTCTGTGTATTACATCACGTTCATATATAGCAGTTGTACATGATTTGCATTTNGATGTGAGTGAGTTGTGCTCGGTGTGCACATAAATACTTGTTTATCGTGATATTACTTATCTGTCTGTGCATTACATTACGTTCATATATAGCAGTTGTACATGATTTGCAATTGTTTCATCGTTTTGCATTCATCATTACGATAGAATCGATGAATTAATTCTTTATTGATGAGTGTTTGTTGAAGGCTGATGAAATACCCAAAGTTCGTCCATCGCGTCACAGACGTAAACCGAATTGGATTGACGACGCTAACTATGTAACTGCTTTCAAGTGAGCTGGATTACTATTCTGTTGTTATTATTTTTACTGTCGCTATTGCTGTTGTTAAAGTCAGTGCTCTTAAGAGATGTTCTAAATTCGTTGAGTGTTTCATGTTTCATCGAAAAACCATTCCAATTAATTGACTGAACAGCCATCGTGAGCTTGCAGTAGGAAGCGAGCACGTGCGAATGTGTTCGCATCGTCATCGAATGAAATCGAGATGAACTGTTGTGATGAATCGATCGATCAGCAGCCATCCGTCAACGCCACTCAGCAGCCATCCTCGTCTTCATTCGTGTGCTCACAAACACTCGATTCACACACCAACGAACACACAGTTTCGCATCAGAATTCATCCGCAAATGCTTCAGCCCATCAGCCGATCATCCCCGAACACCCAGCACTACTGTCAACAGCTCAGTCGAATGATGCAACAAGCAGTTGTGCTATTTCACCGGCTAAAGTGTCAGCCACGTCGCATCAGACTCAGTACGCTCTCGACTCAGAGCATCTGAGTGCTTCTTTGCAAAGCACAACATCCGATCACTCACCAGCTGTTCTCAGCAAGAAACGACTACACCGATCGCTCTCACCACAAACACCTCGTTCCAACTCACCTGCGTTAGTTTAAGTTGTTGTTTGTACTTGTTACATGCTTTTCGCTTGTTCGATCATACAGAATTTCTAAATTCATTCTCATTTTACTAATACGATCACTAATATATTTGCTCATATCGAGATTGCGTCTCTAGTGTCATATCCATCCCTGCATTGATGTTCTTACATTTATTTTCCAAATGAGTCAGCATATAATGCGTGACGACGTCAATTTGAAATGATTCAATGTTCTGTGTTCATACGCTTTTCTCAAGCATGAATTCCTGAAACTTTAGATCAGTAGGTCCTCATTCGGTGGCCTCTGATCCGGGAGTTGTTTTGCCGGCTTCGTTTGTTCGACCGATCCCAACGGTCAAGTCCGCATCATCGGATTACCATGACTCGAGGACGGCGAATGCTCCAAAATCGGTCAAAAAGGTCAGTTGATGCGTCCCGTAATAAAAAGTCATTTGAATCAACTGCAGAATCGATGGAAACTGCGTAATTATTAAATCCGATTGCTTGTTTCATAGAGGCCGAAATAAAACAGAAATGGTTTGATTGCAGGAAAAAGATATGAACGATTCTCGTTTTTTGTATACACCAAGAGCAAGGAAACTGAAGTTTGGTGAAGACGATCCCCGTAGTGAATGTGAGTGATGCGAATTGATTTGATTTGTGATTTGCTGTTTAGAATTTTTTGTGATTATAACTGGGTTTTAGGCATCGAATTGTTTTCTTCTCTCGTCGTCATTCTGATGCACTTACGCGGAAAAATTGGGACATTAGATTAGAGGTTTGGGATGAAGCCTGTATAATCGGATGAAGTTGGCCATATGGATTCGAGATCTCTTTTTCGAGTTAGCGAAATGATCTCGGATGACGAATAAAACTATGCGTTTTTTTAATGAAGTTGTAAAATGAGTTTTGTCATTGAAACTATGGATATGCTCTCTTGCATATGTATAGTATATAAAAGTGATTGTATATATGATTACTTTAAAAAATGCGAAAGNACTGCCAGTGGCTCAACGTCTTCAACGCATTCACGTCGCAAACAAAATCTGTCAAAAATTCATGAAAACGATAACGTAACGGTTTGTATTCGAATTCATTATTCGATTGTTTCTCGTTTGCAAAGCAAGGAATAATGTCGTTTTTTATATTGTTTTATGCAGTTGATTATTTATTCAAACAAGAAGAAAATGTTTTCATTATAATTTCACTATCGCATTTGATGAACGTTCAAATGTGATCGATTATTCATCAGTAATCGTGTTTGTTTTCGCAGATAGTACGATTAGCGAATGGACGCCCACCGCCACGTCCAGACGACCTCTCCGAAATTCCGGTTTATTTAACGGAAATGCAACGGGATTTGTTCTTTTCATTCATTCGGCCAGAGTCCACCTCAACTGACGGTGTACAGAAGTGCATGCAATGTGGCAAAATTGTTGCGAATATGATGGTAAGTGGAATCGCTCTCGCTGACTTAGCGATATTGAACTGACTGGATGTTTCTTTTTGATCCATATTGGTTGTTTATTTGTCGTGATAAATTCGAAAACTGAAAAGATGGAAGACTGAGTGCTGATATAAGGAATAATGAAATGTTGTTGATTTGGTGGTTTTTGTATGAACGAAGAAATGACTTTAAGGAGGGTCGTCGTCATGCAGTCGGCCATCTGCGAATAATGCGTTTGCGATGTTCGCTGTGTGACTGCGGTTCGTTCTTTTGTTCGGATATGCGAATGCATCTGCAGTATCGTCACTGTCCGAAATTGCAATTCGCGCCTCGAGGTTACATTCTGCCTGGCGATGCGGTTCCGTGTATGACTCAACGACAGGTATTATTCACTTGACTTTTCGTTTGACTTTTATGGCGATATCACTTGTTCAAAAAGTGTTCTTCTATAAGACCGCATTGTGAGTTTTTGGCGTATGAATAGACAAATTTGGTCATGCAGTAATTATGCGTAGTGATTGCTTTTGACTGCATTGAACCTTTCAGGCTGATGAGTTGACAAAACTTGTCGATCCACAGAAACCTGGGCGTGTTATGTATACATCTGGCAAGGTATAAATTTCAGTTGTTTTACATGTTATGATCGGAGTTTCGTCATCTTAAAATATTCGTTTCATAACTTTCGTAGTGATAAATATGTCGTCCATGAAGAGAACATTTTTCTGAAAAAGTTTTAGCAGATCTCTCGAATGATGCCGTTTTCGAATATTCGAACGGTGCGCCGCAATATATAGTTGGTACCGGGATGCTTTGATGTTTTGCATATGCCATCGTTGGTAAATGTTCTATCTCACAGCAAATGGAATTGTTTCAGATCGTGAGCAGTGCCAGCCCAGTTCCGTATTATCCGGATCCGGAAATCGAGAAACGTGTTCTCGGAACCCTGCGACCGGCTGCCTGCGATATGGCCACACCACCCGAACAAATGCCATCGGTCGGCGATTCGGTGCAGACGTCCAAAGACGAATCAGCAAAACCAACAGACTCTTAACTGATGCGAANAGTTGAGGCAATAACGACAACAACAGATCGATCGCCTTTCGTGTTTATTGTTTCATTTGATGTGCTGTAAATTGATCAGTGTTCACTTGTCGTTTGGTTGTAATTACGTTTTGTGACTACTGTGTATAGCAACCATTCAGTATTTGTTTGTTGACGACTCATTTGTTTGTAGTCAGATTTATGGACCAATAATTTAATTTTGTTCACATTGCCAGTGCAATTTCGCATCCGAACTTTCGCTTTCTGAAACAATCCTTTGTTGGAAACAAAGATAAGTGACTGACTGCATGATTGGTTATTAGGGTGTGAATTGTTCAGAATTGAAATTATCACACACCTATTGTACTCACATGTTAGTTCTATTCAAATTTTGATCTCAGAACAAGTTTGTCTTTATAGTGATACGTATGCAGTGCAAATGCTTGATCAGTATTTGTATTAATTTGTGATTGTATTCACTGATTATATAATGATAATACTCTTTCATAATATTCGTTTTATTTTCCGTCTTCTCCAACACTTCCTAAAATACTCTTGTTTCAATTTTACGGAATTCATCATTTCTCCTTCACATTTCTATTTTCTGAACAAATTCACTTTTGCTTCGTAATTTTGTTCGTTCTTCATCCGATTGTTCAATATTTGTGCTTTACGAGATATTCGTCGAAGCACCACGAATGCAACCTTATCGAATCCAAACGTTTGACTCTATCATTTTGTCATCTATAACTCGCACGTTCCCGTGTGCTCATCAAACTGAATTTTTCCAAATAGTATTTTGTGTCATTAGTCACTCAAGCTCGAAGGACTGTAGTGTTTTGATGCGGTCTTCTGTAGGGATCACGATTGATGTTGTTGTCAACGTGTTGATATTTTATGTTGCATGTGGATTTGGTACTGTCGGATTGTTTTTAGAATGATGCAGTAGGGATCACGATTGATAAGTGATTTGTCTTTATAATATAACTTGTTGGGGAATCTATAAGTATGAAGTGGTTTTGGGTGAGGAGTTGGAGGTGATTCGAGATGAATCGTTGAATTCAGCTCGTTTCTGAATTGCACACAAATGGTTGGTTGGATTGAAAGAATGAAAATCTTAATGACAGCAATAAATGACTTCTTATTTCAATGAATCAACACCAAATTCAGGAGTCTTTGAGAGTATGTGTTGCTTTTAACTTATTGTTGCATACAATTGATTATACGTTATTATCACCAGTAATGTTATGTTGTTGTCGTTACTATTGTTTCAATGAAATATATCGATCATATTTGATCGCCATGATTGATTATCTGTTTTTACGTACTTTTCGGTTTTATTTACCGATCGCTTTTATTCGGTCAGTGCTCATCGTTGAATTTCAGTTGATCATTCGACTGATTAACTCATTCTCGGTGTTATTTCACATTTCTGTACGTATTTTGTTTCGACTCATTAAACATATACGTTTACTTCATCAATAAATTGCATTTTTACGAGTGACGATTGCTATTGACTGAGTTGCGTTGTGTTTTTCGACATGCAGTGTGTTATTTGTTGCGGTGATTGCTTCATTGAGAAACAGCGATTTGAGATTCACGGAAGAGAACAGCTTACAAGCGGTGTTGACTCATAAGGAAATCGTTTGCAGTTAATGACTTCAACAGATTAAAGATAGTGGCTTGATTTTATGGTAGAATGTACACAACGAGCACTCAAAAAACTAATTGGACGTTCGCTTCACCAGATGCCATTAGCGCGTTTCGGTGAGTTGATGTTTCTTGGTATGGATCTTGTCGTGAATAATGTTCGTCGGGGGACAACTTTTTTTGGTCGGGGACTTCGCAGAGGAACAAAGAGGTCGGGATAGGGATGGGACCNGACTGTGTCGAGGGGGTCGTTCTGGGAGAATGCGAGTGATTCAACGCAAATTGAACGAAAATTTCTGCCATCGATGTGCATTTCCGAGAAGAGGAGATTGAATTGATGAGAACGAGTAAATCTGCATTAAAGAGTCAGTTGAAGTGCTTTAGGGAAGCTGCGAATAAACGATTTCGTGAGAAATATTCGAACGTGATACGCGATGGTGAGGAGGACGTGTTCTTGACTCCCGAAGAAGAAACGACATTGAGGAATATTGTCACTGAAACTGGTATAAGGTTGGTTTCGTTACACCAATTGATTTCATCATCAAAATGCTGCGCTTATTGGAGGGCTTCGGCAAGATGGTATGGCAACGAGTGCATTGCTCAAACGCTACAAAGACATATATTCGTCGTATCCGATAATGCATTCGACGAAAAACACAACTTGTTACGGTCATTTCGTTCAGATTCGCAGAAGACTTTCGACCGGCAATGTGGTTGTCTGTAAGATGGACTGCATTCGCCTACTTTAAACGTTTCTTCTTGCATAACTCCACTATGGAATATTCACCGAAAAGTGTCATGATGGCTTGTTTCTACTTGGCCGCGAAGGTGGATGAATTCAATCTCTCAATACAAGATTTTATCAAGAATTTAAGGTTAGTTCAGCTCAAATTTACGGCATTCTTTGTGTTACTTCTAGATATGAAATTTTACCAATCGGACATACTATTGGAGTTCGGCTATCCGCATTTGAGGCGATTTTTGAAAAGAATTTTCTCTAAACGTGAAAGCTTAGTCAGTTTCACATATTAGCCGTCTGTTGATTTCTTAACGCATCAGATTCGGCAGTCTTCCACTGTTCACAAGGAATGAGCTGATTCATATGTTCAAAATCACTTCTAGGTCGGGTACAGCGAAGACGAATGCTGAGACGATATTATCGTTAGAGCCGGAAATAATGTCAAAGTTGAATTATCATCTAACGGTGCATGCGCCTTTCCGACCGTTCGAAGGGCATTTAATCGATATGAAGACGCACTCTTTGCTTGGCTTCGATCTGGAACAAGTTCGACCGCATTCAAGTGACTTCTTCAAGGTTTTTTGATTGATCTGGACTGCATTCGACTTTTGCTGATATTTCTCGTTTTTTGTTGATTGATTACGTTGTTTTCAAATGAATTTGTGAATGTCGTAAGACGTATTCATATGATTCAACATATTACCGATGTATTGCAACAGATAATCAATTAAGGCGAATTCATATTCTTCATTTCAGAAAGCTTTACTGAGTGATGTGATGCTTTTATATCCGCCATCACAAATTGCGTTGGCAGCACTGAAATATGCACTGCAAAGGCTTGGTGAGGTTTACGTTTCATTGCCATCTTATTATCATAATCTTATTAAAGTAATTGTCATCACAGAAATATGATCCTATCTGCGCAGTGCATGTAATTTTTGATGAATTCATTCACGAAGTGCTATCTGAAAACACTTGTGAATCGCTCAGTGCATTTCTAGCGAGGAATTCAATTAACAAATTGGATTCGAATGTTTTCGTGAGATTTTGCAGTGAACGATGGCAATGACCATGCAGCTATTTAGTACTTTTTTTTTGCAGATAAATCGGATGATTTGTTGAAAGATCAATTTTTGTACAAATTGTTGAATATCGATACATGGCAGCCACAAAATAATGATGTTATAATATGTGAGAAATTAATATCACGACTTGATGAGATCATCGCATTTGTACTAGCCAATTGTGAACCTGTTAGTAAGGAAGCGAACGCAGCATTACAGGTTTCTTTTCGTCATGAATTCAAAACTGTAATGAGAAATTATTTTTTGATTGACTTTTTCGTCAATTTTTTCGATATTCTCTTATGCAGCAATAATAAGGTGATCTTTTATCTTTCCTACAAGTACTTCATTATATTCTTCGTTGAATTTCTTCGTTTATGACACTTATGAGTAAGTAATTAATGGATACAATTTAAATCTGATTCATTTGTTTCATAGTCTGAAAAGGCGATTTTCTAAGTAGTCGTTTGGTATTTGCAGAGTAAAATGCAGCAATGGGTTAGTGCATTGCCGGATCTTGAGAGAAGGCTGAATGAAGCGTCCACTGTGGGATCGAATGAAAATTCGAATACAAATTCGGCGTTCAATTCGGATGATGACGATTAATGGATTTTGATTTGATTTACTTTGATTGAATTCGTTACAAAATTGTTGTTGCATATTGATCATGATTTCGATGTTTGTATGTGTATTGTTACTTGAAAATTCATCCATCTTCTCCCTATAATTACAGTAATCTCCTTCGTAAAAACGAACGATTTCATAGTGAAAATGTATTTACATTCTGCGGAAGTTCACTACTCTAAATTTTCTTTCATAATAAATACATTTCAAA